TAGATAATATTAATTCGGAGAAAACAGACATGAGCGGGGTTCTTTTACTCATTGACTGTTACAGTAGAACAGGGTTAAAAGCTGGTATTGAGTGTACAAATATCCATTTGTTTTGCTTTTAGACTAAATTGAAGAGCCAATGGTAATCTATCCACCAATAGGACATGGGCACAGAAGCACCCTTCCGCTCGTGTTCATCCAGTATACTACCTTCAATAGCCTTACCCTCCGTGAATTTGGCTAAGCCCCTTAAAGGTTCTCTAAGGTGGTGATTAGGAAAATCGTACAACTCCTAGTAAAAAAAACGACTTGGAAGGCAATTCTACCTATGTTTACCCAAAAATGGCCCTACAATTCCCAGTATGTCCTAGCCAGGACTAGAGCATTTCGAACCATGCCTAGGGCCTAAGTAGACAGCTTCTACTTGAGAAAAGCTGCAAACTTGGTATAAATACCAGCGTATTCTCACGACAGACAGGGCTGTTCATATCTGCCTGTCACGCAGCCTTTAAAAATATCAGAGATCTGGCCCGGAAAGTAGACATAAGAACCCTCGGTAGAAAGCACGTCGTTTCAAAGCATGTTTCGCAATGAAAACTGTGTCTTCATCGTCGCCTGCTTTATTCTGAGTTCTCTCACGAAGTAGTGCTGCGTCCTTTCAAGACTCTTGCCCCGCAAATAGATGGTTCTGCGCACGGGAACCGGAAATCGTCCTAGGGAGCCGTTATGTCGCTGCCCCTGCCTTGGCACTTCCTGGCGCCGTTTCCTTTCGTCGGCGGGGGAGCGGGCTGGGCTGCTTGGCTTCATGGCGGCCACGGGAGAGGTTGGCGCTGGAGTGACGAGCGGACTGGGCCGAAGGAAAGCTTATGGCAAGGTAAGTGCCGGCGGGGATCCGGCGGGAAGGCGCGAGAGCTCCGTGGACAGGACCGCCGAGGTCCCCATCAAGTCTGCAAAGAAATGCCTTTTCCGGAGAAGAAAAGGGAGTAAAGAAGGGAGTCCTTTTGTTTCGTTCTCCAGTTTTCAAGTGTGTTGGAGCCATGAAGGTTTAAAGAAATTATTTTCTTTCTTTTTTCTGCTTCTAGGAAGGGGGAGGGGACAAGGGTTTTAAAGCCGTAAAACTCTTGAGATAGTAAGATTTAAAAGTACTCGCCCCCCAATTCATAATACTTAACAAAGTATATGGAAGGGAAAGAGTGCCAAGTATCTGTACTGTTTGTAAAGTAGTTGTCCTTTCTCACATTGTGAGTTTTGAAAGGGAAAAGTTGCCTTTATGCTGGCAATTGCGATATACATACTTCCCTTCGAGAAATGTCTTTTTTCATCCCCTTTTCAATCTTCACCAAAGTTCTGTGAGGTACATTGGCAGAGAAAGGGTAGCAGCATGCATAACTAGTAGTTAGAGATAACATTTATAGTAGTGTATCCATCTTTTTAAAAAGTTAGTAAAATATTTCAGCCCTTCCTGTAAGGATGTCCCTCGGATATATTTCTTGTCATTAAATCAGAATTTGAGGAACACAGTGTTGTGGTAAGCTGAGAAACGTTGAGAATTTCATTGCTTTGAAACGTTAGCAAGTACTAGCTTTTCAGAGACCTGAATGCAATACTGTAGAGTTGTCATTACAATGGTACTTGCATTCAGTTTTTGTTTTTCATCTTTTCAAGCTAGTTTTTAGGGTATATAGAGCAATCCCTTGTACATGGTAGGCATGTCGTGTGTGGAGCCAGCTAGAGCCAGGGGTCAGACTAGATGGCCCAGGAGACCCATTCTGACTCGCTCTGTTTCTAATATGAATGACTTTGCAGCCATACATGCACATACACTTTGCAGCAGCTATGAAGCCATTAGATATATACATAGAAAGCATGCATAACCAAGTTTATGTGCATATAGCTTTGAAGGAAGGACGGGATGCAGCCTTTTCTGATTTAGTCAACCTTGTCATTTCACTTGTATGGAACTAATAAGAGCCATATTATGTGCTACATTATTAGGTGTACTGCTGAGATGCCTTAAGTTTGCATGTGGGAAGTATGGATTTGCAAATAGCTTGTACTGATCAGAAAACCGTGAGCTGCTGCAACTCCTCCTTCGGTGTACTGTTGCTGGTAAACCTGGGTTTGTTGTGATAACCTTAGGTTATTTGAGACTAATAACTACAATTGGAGAAATGGAGCATGCTAGCTGTGTGCCCTGTTGCTCCTTGTTGTGAGGGTTCCCCTTCCCACCCCCATTTCCATTACGTTGTTATAGTTCTTAGGATATTCATGTTCGGTCAGGACCACTACCGCCGTAATTAAAAATGGAACTTGATCCTGTCTAGTACAGAAATAATCTGTACATACACACATGTTTTGTTTGGGTTAATCATGGCTTCAGCAAAATCCATGTGAAATCATGTTCTGTGTACACTTTCTTTATAAAGCCTTTTGTACATGCCCAACTAAAGCTAGCTTTAATATTTAATAATACTTTACCATAATATAATTACCGGTTTCTAGGTCGAATTTGAGTTAAATGGAACATTAAATCTATCCCATATCTATGGCCAGAGTTAAAATCAGTAGGGAACTGCTTCTACTTTTCTTTTGTGGCCATATGGTTGCCTGGCTCAGAGCTGTTAACTTTGTCTATTTCTTTAAGTGTACTCTTAATTCTGCTTCACCCTTGAAGTAATTTACCAGTTGTGGATGTGGATCAATAGATTGCAGCTGCACCTGGTGGCTGGGAATAATTTTATGAGCCTGCAGTCATGTATTAAACATGCCTCTGAATATATGCAGTGCCTCTTCTTACTGAGTAAAGGCATTTAGTGAGATAAGTTTATAAGGCAGATACCACAGCTTTCATGCATTCTTTTCTTTTCGCATTGAGTGCTACCTCCACCTTTGTGATGTACTGTCAAAACTAAACAGCATCATTCACCAAAATTTCCAGTTGTTATTTTTAATGTCCGTTTAGAAGCTTTTTATGAAATGCTTTCCTTGCCCCAAGGTTCTCCTTATCTTAGGCTGCCATTTGGGGGGCAGGGGGGGAGAGCCACTGGTTGGGTGAAGCTGCTCTATTCTATCCCCACTCCTCCCCCTGCCTCTGTTTTTCTTTCCTTTCTCCAAAACATTCTATGGCTACTGATCACTATGTTGGTTTCTTTGAGGGAATTTTACTTAGTTTTCTTTCCTAAATTTTTTTGTACTTTTGCAGAACTGGTATGCTGATATCTCCTTCCTCTCAGTGGCTGTTTAGACTTCTCAGCAGAGTTTACTGTTACAGGAAATGACCTGGGACTGTTTTTGAATGGGCAGAATGTAGCAGCAGCTTCTATTTGTTGCATGCTGCTTCCCTATCCACCAGAATTGAATGCATGGTCTGAATGATTATTTGTAGACTACTGCCTACCAAATGTAACACTGATTGCCAGGGTACCTCCTTTTTCTATAGGTGGGTTAGGAGTTTTCTCATCATAGTTTCAGTCTGCCTATCTAGGTTATTCCACTGCCAGACATGCCTTGCAGCTGCATCTCCATAGATAATATTTTTCTATCCCTTAGGAGGATTCTCTGGTTTTCAGAAGCCTTTCTGCTAACATGTGATGGTATAGGCAAAGCTCTGATCTTAACAGTAGGTTCTCTTCCATTTAGTGAGATAAATGCTTTGTAAACAATTGCTTCCCGGGTTCACCTCTTCTGGGGCAATCTAATCAATGTTTGGTATACACATGGTTTGTGCAGCATGTTGTGTTAAACTGTTGTAACTTCCAGACCACCATCCTGTTTGCAAGCACACAGATTCTTCAACTCTTATCCCACAGTGCCTTAGAGCACAATCCTCTGACCACTAGAAATTGTTCATGAAGCTGGAACAACTGTTTTTGCACCAGCTGCAGCTCCAAAGTTCCAAGTGCAGTTTCAGAGCCAACACAGGGGTACCAAGAGATGGTGTGAGAGCCTGCCAGGGTGCAAAGGAGCAGAGGCAAAGGACTTAAACAGCTGAGAGCTCTGTGTCTCCGGCAGTGTCGAAGAAGCGTGGGGGCACTTTTCTTGCATTTGGTTGGATTCCTGTAATCCTCCAGATTTGAGGGTAACAGGCATCCACACTGGATGGTGCCCTAAGTTACTCAAGTTTAGTATGTCAGTATTTACATAGTGCTGAAGTGGGTATTGAAATAGTCACACCTGGTGAAATACCTGAATGCTTTCAGTAGTCTGTGTCTTGAAACTGTGGGGAAGCAGTCAGACAGCCCCATTCACTTAAGGCAAAACTGCTGCATGGATTGATGCAGCCAGGGTAATGACATGCTGAAGAACCTGAAAAACTCAGGCAACATCAATTAAGGTTGAAATTCTAGGTGTGTGAAGATGTATGCCACTTAAAAATGGAGATGGTCATCCTGAAGTTGCTATTGTTTTTCATTTGTTTCTTCCATCCTTTCACGGATGGAAGAAACAAATGAACTGTGATCGTGGCCATCCCCCCCCCCCCTTCCAGTGGGGAGATGGCCACGATCGCAGTTGCTTTAGTGCAGGGAAGGCATGCGTGATCAGAGGCGTGCTCCTGCAGGAAAGACGGGCATAGTCTCGGCCATCTGCCCCCCCCCCCCGCAACCAGCATGATTGCGGCCATATTCCCACCCCACCCCTGAGTGGGGAGATGGCCGCGATTGTGCTGGGGGTGGGGGGAGATGGCCGAGATTGTGCCCATCTCTCCCTCCTCCAGCGCGCCGTTTGCACCCGTCTCTTCTTCCCCCAGTGCGCCCATGATCATGCCTGTCTCTCCCCCCCCCCACCCCCCCAGCATGCCAGGATGACGGGCGCCTGCAGGGATGACAGGCACAATCTCAGTCATGCTGTGGGGGGTGGGGAGTTGATTGTGCTTGAGGTGGGGGAGAGATGGTCACGATCTTTGTTGTCACTTTGCTTCACATTTTTCTGATTTAAAAAAATGGTTTCAGAACGGATTAACCTTATTTACATTGAACCTTATGGGGAAATTTGACTTGGCTCATGACCAATTTGGGTCACGACCAGAGTCCTTGAACTGATTAAGTTTGTGAGCCAAGGTACCACTGTATATTGTCTCCTCCCCCTTTCCTTGCCTTTCTGAACACCAGTAGCTTTTCACTAACACCACCTGCTATGCTTTTAATGAGTGTTTCATAGGGCAGCAGCTGTTGATCTTCTCCATTCTGTGCCTGCATGAAATTAATGCAATATCCTTGACATTTTCTGTACTTATTAACAGTTGTCCATTATTGTACTTCACTTAAAATATGTTTTAGCTGAGCAAACTGAAGATTCAGATGTTGCAGCATAATCATAAAATATTGCCAGTAATAACATTCAAAATGTGTTGCTGAAATTTAAGTTAGATCTGGAAGTGGATACTTCCTATACATTTTTTTCCTATTCCAAATGGATTTATATGTGGGGTCACCAACCTTCTAGTTCCATGAGAACATCTGGGAACCTGACAAACTACTGCAGGAACAACTACATGTCTAATTGGTGGATCACTGCTTTGAGTGTCTAGCTGGTATGTCTAAGGATCTTAGGCTGAGTCTTATTCAGCAAAAACTTGTGTTCCATTTTTATTGGACACTGCAATGTGCCTTTAATAAGGAGTTGTCTAAGTCAGCTAATTGCTGACAATGCAATACAGATAATGCTTCTTTTAAACATATGTTTTGACAGTGTCCGGAAGTTGCTTTTCTTTTCTTTTCTTTTCTTTTTTTTTTTTCTTTTTTGGAGTTGGTTATTACATAAATGTGCTGGAATTACTTACCTGCTTCATGGAAATCAACAAAAGGAAGAGGAAATGGAATATTCATTCTATTTTTATCACTAAGAAACTGACATTATAAAACTGGTACACTCAACATTCAACTCCTATAGTGCAATAGACTGAGGACCTTAGAACACTGATTGACGTATGGATGCCAGTTTAAGGGGAGGATAAAATATAAAAAATCCGGGTGCCCATTAGTGCCGCATTGAGGACCCTAATTTCAATTATTAGCACGTTTCTAGTTCTGCAAAGTAGGAAGTTTTCAGCTAGAACTGTCATGTTCTACAGAATAACAAATATGCATAAGCAAATGCATGAGAAATCAGAAAGGCAATTAGAACACCCGCAGACATAAGTACTTATATTTTGGTTTACATACCAAGACAGATTCTTAATAAATGCAAGACAAATAGAAGATTTCAAATAGGTTCTCGTTAAATGTTTGCAAGTTGCACTCTAGATCCTATCTGCGCACTGGGACTTTTTCAGTCAACCTCATCTGGTCCCTCCCCTGAAGGCTACAGGCATCCAAAGCTATTTGAGAGGCTGCAGCTGGATGGGCAAATTGGTACAATTCCTGTACATGTGCAAAAGCATTTATACACTTGTAGTTCTTTTGATCTTGAATTCCGATAGTATTTGAAACTGACACCAGAGGAACATAGAGTGCTGCCTTACAGGAATCATACCATTCATCTAGCACTTCAGGTTTTCAAGCAGGGTTCCTTCCCCACTCTACCTGTAGATGCCTGAGATGAAACTCGAGGAATTCTGCATGCCAGCCATGTATGCTACTACTAAACTACCAGCCCCTCCCAGACCCACCATAGTTGTGATACTGGGTTTTTTTCCTTTTAAAAATTGTATCCTGCTTATTCAGAATAAAATTTCAGTTTGGCCTTTAAAAAAATGAATCAGAGCATGAATGAATACAATTCTGCTGTGTGAAGAAGAAAAGCTGCCAGGTTGGAGCCTTTTTTAAAAAACTTGTCTGCTTTGGAGCATGTCTGTCTGAAGATATTTTTGATATCTAATATTGATTGTTGGCTTAACAGCTTCTGCATACTGGCTTTGCTTCCACCATCCTTCTTGCCAGCTCTCACTCTTACTCTTGCTTGAACTGAATATATAATGAACTATCATTCAAAAATGTAAATTCAAAGTTTCTTATGGCTCTCCTGCTTTAAGATAGATAACAGAAGTAGTTTGAAAATGCTCCACTAGTGTGGAGAATAGTCTGCTGCATCTCTCAATAGACTGCATTCACTACCATGTGATGTCTGTTCCTAAGGCAAAAAGACACACATGTTCCAGCTGCTTCCATGCATACAGATTATGAACAGGAAACTAAGGAGAGGTGGATATTGTTATCAGTATAAGTTTTAGATTAATATAATGTTCTGAAGTTTTTACTACAAAAATCTTATTATGATTTTCCATCAGGTCTCTTGCCAGATTCTTCCACGTAAGTAGAAGACTAACTTGCTGACTACTTGACATCTTGGTTTTGAACCAATAAAATTTCCCTTCTTTATATCAACACAAATACTAATTACTGATAAGACAATCTTTAACAGTGGGCAATCCTGAAGTATATGAGCAGGTGTGAGGTGGGAGTTGCTATAGCTACTATAGCACACTTTCATTTGGCAAAGAGAAGCAACTCCATCTGGCTCAGCTCTCAACTTCCCATCCACTTTTTGAGGCTAGTGTGAAGTTAAGCCATTTTCTGCTATTCCTTTGCCTTGTTCTTCTTAAGTGGGATGGCAGTTACTTCATGCTTGCAATCGGATGGAACCGTCTGTACTAATGCAATTCAGCTGCAAGTTGGGACTGTAGAGTCTAGACTTGCACATTCTGGTAGGACAGTGCCAGATCTGAAGCTTAGGCCTAAAGTTTCTCTTCTGTACACAAAAATTATATGATAATCTACAAATTTTAAAATAAGGCTAAAACTTGCTCACAGAAAGAACTGCGTTGTATAATTCATCTGCATCCTTGAAACAATAATAAGCTTACAGAGAAAATTTCTTGAACATTAATGTTAGGGTTGATATTATTTTGGATCTAGTTGAAAATAAAGGCACACAGCATAAATCTCACCTTACTTCACTGCTTTCTCCAGGATAATCTTCGTAACAGCTGCTAAAGACGACAAAGACAAAATGTAGACTATGAAATATATTTTACTGGTCAAGTAAAATGGATCCATGTTCAGTTGGAAATGAGCTGCAAGCTAGCAGTGATTGTCATAAAACATACTTTACCTGCCACACTGGCTTCAAGACTAAGCAAGAATTATCATCAACTGATCTGTTACTCCTTCAGCTTAGGACTGGGATAACTCTTTCAGAGAACCATACAATCTGCTTCCATCATTCTAAGCTTTACCTTGATAGATATGAAGATTTACAAAAGTCATGTTGTGATCCTTTTAATTTGCACAAAAAACGTTCAAGGAAAAACTTGCATGCAATTGACATAGATGATGCAGCTTTTCTAAGTGCCAAGTTTGGACGGCAGTTTGTACCTGGCTGGAAGCTTTGTCCAAAATGTACACAGATAATAAATGGAAATGCAGAGGTTGATTCTGAAGACCGTCAGCGACGGAGACTTGATTCAGACGTATGTATATGGGGACATTTTTTTCACCTCTCTAAATATTGGACTAAGGCTGCAATCCTATGCACACTTACATGGGGGTAAGCCCCACTGAAAAAGCTTGTACACACTTCTAAGTAAATGTACCAAGGAATTTGGTTGCAGCAAAAGTGTAGTATTGCTAAGATTGTAGGTATACATTTTTGTAAAAGTCCTTTTAAATACCATTGACATACAAGGTATTCTGTTTTTTTCCCACTAGTGTTATCATCTCTCACTAAGTGCAACGTAAAGAATGATGTGTATAGGTGAAACAGCCAACATAGCTCAAACATCAGAAATGGAGCTTTCATATGACCTCACATCATCTTAGATATAATAGCTGTCAGTGGAATGACCACATCCAGCTGCAAGCCTTCATATGGTACATTATGCCTCAGCCTTAATCCTGTGGAAGAGACCAGGACTTTTCATCTGAAAAGGGGGAGTTGGCCATGCACAAGCAATGTCCACACATGCACCCCTTTCACATGAGGAAGCAAACAAGATGTCTTCAATTTACTGTAGCTTCCTGTTTCACCTGAACCTAGAAGTGGTGATTAACAGCTGCTGAAGCAAGCTGGTTTAGCATCTTCAGTTTATTATGCTGCCATGTGCTGAAGCTGTTGGCCATAGTTACCCAGTGGCTCATGCTTACAAGCATCTGAACTCTCCCACAATGAGTTGAGGTGAATTATTCCCTAGCAGCACAGTTATGGTGAGACAAAGGCAGTGAAACCTGCTCTACACAGTAAGCAAAACAAGGTGTAAAAGTATTGGCAGGCTAGGCTGAATTGTACTGCTTTGGGCTGCAGGTGATAAAACACGTTTTTAAATGATCATTCCCCTGTGTAACATGTTTCTTGTCAGTGTAAACAAAGCATGCACAAGCACACAGAGGAAGAGGGGTTCTAGCTTAGCTGCTCTCTGTTAGGCAGCTGCTGTTGTACTTCCAGGACATAGTTCACATGGGGGAGCATCCAGAAATAAAATAATTACTTGCAGTCTAAAGTAGTATGCTCCTTAGAATACTTACAGAACTTGAATAAAGGAAATGAACCGCCCCCTCCCCAAAAAAGATGCACCATAATGAAAGATTTACATTTCTGGAACTGATTTTCCAGCTAGACAGTATTCAACATTAAAGGTTAAAGGTTTCCCTTTGATGTTAAGTCCAGTCATGCCTGACTCTAGGGGGTGGTTTCCTAGCCGAGGGAGCCAGCGTTTGTCCGCAGACAGTCTCCACGGTCATGTGGCCGGCATGACTAAGCACCGAGGTGCACAGAACTCTGTTACCTTCCCACCAAAGTGGTACCTTTTTTATCTACTTGGCATTTGCATGTTTTTGAACTGCAAGGTTGGCAGGAGCTGGGACGGAGCAACGGGAACTCACCCCGTTGTGCAGATTCGAACCGGCGACCTTTCGATCAACCAGACCAGCAGCACAGCAGTTTAAACCACTGCGCCACCTGCAGTCCCTAGTATTCAACATACTGCAGCTAAATTCTCGAAAGTGGAAGTAAAGAGACAATTGAACATATGCCCTGTTAAGTTATTAAAGGATCAATATAGTATTTGTTTCCATTAATTTGCATCAGTAAGTATATGCTCATGTCCAACTTGCCATCCGCTCCGTAAGAAAATACCTTTGCTTTCTTTTATTAAACTGTCCTTACAGAGTCACCTTATGAGCAGCTTAGAGACACAAACAAGTGAGGGTCTTAACAAAAAGACATAGTAGCTTTGTGCAACAACATCTAGCAGTCATTTGTTCACATCTCTATATAGCCCTGTAATAACCTTATTTGATGAAGAGCAATTCACAGTGAGTACACTCTGCATGAAGACAGGGCATGTGATTCACCCATACCTGTCATATTCACATGTTCATCATCAGAAGATAATTTACCAAGTGGTAATTAGTAACACTTGGTCTCAGCTTTCTGCCTAGCTTTTACATGAGGTGTGATAACCCCTAACTTGATTAGTGGTGGAATGTGTATTAAGCTTTGTGTTTCTGGGTCAAATGAAATTCTCTGTATTTGTTCAGGGGCGTACAGCTAAGGCCTTGAAGTCCTTACAGTTTGCTAATCCAGGACGGCATAGTGGATTCACACCAGAAGCAAACAAAAGAGAAAAAAGAAGGCTGCAAACAAAAAACACGTCTATTAATTCAGACAGGTGTGTTTATGTACTTTGATTACATGTATGTATGTTTTACCCCCATCGGTGGGCAGGGAGGGGTGTCTTATTTGCATTTAGACTGTGCTTAAAATCCACATGATTTGATAGATTCTTATGCTCAAAGTGGTCTCTGACTATATTACTCTTACATGTTTTTTCACATGATATATATTGAATTGGAGAGGTGGGGATTGCTTCACTGTATTGGACTCCTGTTGTGACTAGTGGTGACATCAGTGTAGCTATTCTTTCTCCCTTTCCCTCCTATCTCTGCCTCACTGCCACTACTGTCCTGTACTAGCTTAGCGTGGCTTGAGGTCACCTTCATCACTTTTGTCGGGTTATCTAGTTTTTAAGGCTGCTGGCGCTATAGCAACCAAAATGGTGTGAGAGAAATAACTCTGAAAATGCTAGACAACTGTACATCAATTTGTGCCCATGTGCATTTGCACCAAGCAGTACATATTTTGTGATAGTGGATCCATTTTGCAACCTGGCTTAGTTAGACTTTGCAATTAAAGCAGTGGGACCAGTATTGACAACCTTGTTCATGAGCTTGGCTCATGGTCATTTTGTTTTAAAGTAAAATAGTGACTGTGACTGCTGAAGTGCATGTTCAGGAGCACAATAATAGACCCTCCCCCCCACGTACACACACCAAAAATGGTCGTGGTGACAATAGTTTGGACAGTGTGTACAAAGGAATGAAGCTAGTTCACAACTGGCTCAGTAAATCACTTATGGGTATGTAGCCTTCTTGACTAGGTGTAACGAGGTTTCAAACTTGTCTTTTTTTTTTTCATGCCTTTCCATCACAAATATTATTGTGCTGTGGGAAGCAGCCTCAGGTGTTACCAAGTATGGATTTTTTTTTAATCACTTCCCTTCCTCAGTATCTGAGCATAGTCTCCTCTTAGAATGTCCTTAAAACATGGGCAACCAAATTCTGTTAAAATTGTTGCTAAATTGCTGAGCATGACAATATTATCTAAAATGACTATATGTTTCTTGCTTTGCTAAATCATTTCTAACTAATGAAATTGAATGCTGCTAAATAATTAAAATATTTACCTGATGGTCTCTGTAGATTAAAGTACACTGAATCCTAAAAGTCTATCAGGTTGCAACCACAAGTTCTATATGCTGGTTGTGGTTTTTAAGTATGAGACATAGTTGTGTCTTAAGAACTCTTTATGCCAGTTCCAAGGTAATCTGCACTAGTATGACTGTTAATACCAACATATGGTAAGAGAAAGACCTCTGCTTTGTATGGCAACAAATAATGTTCTAACTGTATTAAGAATATTTTTAATAGCGAGGCACAAAGCAGCACCCATACAGAAGTTACCAAGAAATGTTTCCTTTTGGTGTGGGATTCAGTTGCCACTTGAAGAAATTTGCATGGAGAAACTGCCATTTTGCGGCTGGTTAATATGCCAAATTGTATGTGTGTCTCAACAGCCTATCTCTGGATGGCTTATGGCTCTTATATCTATTACTGCTGAGCATGAGATAATTAACCAGAGTAAATGCACTTACCAACTGAATTGCGGGGAAGTAAAATGGAGGATCTAATACTACAACTTGCTGTTTTTTGTCCTTGTGTTTTTTCCCCTCCAGGCAGTTAATACCTGCAAAGAGCAAAGTATATGATAGTCAAGGATTTCTGCTTTATAGTGGGATAGACCTTTGTGACTGCCTTGATGAAGATTGCCTGGGATGTTTCTATGCTTGTCCCAAGTGTGGCTCCAGCAAGTGTGGCCCTGAATGCCGCTGTGATCGCAAGTGGCTGTATGAGCAGATTGAGATCGAAGGAGGGGAAATAATTCGCAACAAGCAAGTGGGATAGCCTGCAGGTTGCATTGGAGCACAGATATTCCAGAAATTATCACATAAAATCCATATGATTTCTTCAGATTTCCAGTTACTGTTCAGTATGATAGATATAAAAGCTGTGGGTCAAGAGTTAATTCCATCTCGTTATCCACCTAAAGAATTCCACTTACAGAAGCAAAACTAGAATGTAGCTTGATAATCTGAGAATTTACTAATAGACAAGTGGATGAATGGGAATAATATTAGCCATTTTGTACCATGGGATCTATACAGAAGATACTTTACACATGCATCTCCCACTTTCCCATGTAGGAAGAACCTGGCATAGCCAGTTAAAAATGTGACCACCACTGTAGACACTTTAAACTCTAGCAGCTGTGAGCAATAGCAGCTCTTGATGAATTTGTAATTTGCATGGTGGATAGAAAACACAAGTGTCACATTAAAGCTTTTTAGAAGATGATACTTTTTTCATTTTTAATAGAAAACAATTATTGTCCTATTTTAAAAGTGAAAGTATTTGAGATGGGTTTTTCAAATCTGAATGCAAAGAAATTCTGTCCTGTAATTTAAACAGTATTTTACTGCTTGTGATGAAAGCATTTACCAAAGATGTAACTCAGGCAACATTTACATTATGAAGTCACTGTTTGAGAACTTTATGGTTTAATCTCTAAGCAGCCTGACAAAGAACTTCCTGACTGAAATCCAACAGACTTCGCTAGTTTTTCAGAAATTCACAAATTATTTACTAGAATGTAAATGATATGAGGACAGAGACCAAAATCTTGTATTTATCAATTTCCTATATTCACTGTTCTGCATAAGGACATAGAACAATTTGCCATATGCTCAAATTAAGAACATTGCTAAGAGAATCTAAGAGTGGAACAGGGCCATTTTCCTAGTTTAGACACCTCAGGGAATAAGGCAGGAGTAAGCAACATGGTGACCTCTATACATTTTGGGCTACAGCTCCCATAATACCAGGCCACTGACCATGTTGGCTGGAACCTATCAGAATCATCTTGATGGCACCAAATTGCCTACTCATGGAGTAAAGGATCTTACCTGTGTAAACCACACCTGGTCAAGATAGCTGATTGCCATTTACAGTTATGGGTAAGACCATAATTATGTCTAACACCTAGAAGGTTATGCCTGGAGCTCAATTTGACTTGCCCATGGCAAGAAAAGTATCCTGTGACCTATTCTGACCTAGAAAAGCAAAGTGTAACAGAAAGCAAATAAACCAGTGCTGTTCTGTCATTGGAATCTAGAGGAAGTAGAATTGAACCCATAGCCCTTAACCTAGAGTTCCATTGGTGTTCTGAGTTGTATGTATGGAGCTTCTTCCTTGTTTGACATGGGAAAATACTGGAATGATCTCTAAGAATACTAGAGTATATGCAAGGAGGCTCTGGATTGAGACAATAGCTCATCACTTCAATATGTATAGAACCAATTCACTGTCCACTCGGTAACAAAAGACCAATCATTACTAAAATCATTTGCTATTAGTTGTAATTTACATTAGCTAAATATTACTTCATGGCTAGAGTTATGTTTTATCTGAGTCAATTTGCATAGCTACAATAAATTCTCTTGTGAAGAGATGTTCAAAGTAGGAATGCTTATTTAACTTAAAACTCTTCTGCCTGGCATGTCATTTTTATAAAAAGAGCCTTTTGCATTCTATCCAAATCAATTCAGAAGATAAAGTATTACAGTACTGTTATAGGACCAACCAAAATACATAGCCATTGTTACCTAATAGTCAAGGTATTGCTGTGACTTCTGGAGTTTTTCCGGTGGAGCATCATGGCTACCTACAAATTAGATACCAAAATCAGAATGAACTTAGCCTTTAAAACTTTAGAATGCTTTGAGAAACTTTGCTTGAGTTTGCTACATAAAATGAAGTTTATGTAGATATGTATAGAAATTGGCCATCACCTAACATTCTTTACAAGCCTGCCAAATTGATGATTAGTTATTTGAATAAATGAAATGTGCAGTCTTCTGAAAGTAGTGAAGCACCAATAAGCTAAAAGTAATCATTTTGGCCACTACTATAGACAAAATCTGTTATACTTTCTGATATTGGCAGATGCAAAGCTTCAAGTTCTGTTTGCTGCACGCTAATACAAGTTGCTGCACGCTAATACATAGTTCTTCTAATCCTAATTTATTTGTGTTAAGTTGGCATCTATTTGTGATATGAAACAAAAAACAGTTATTCAGTTACATTGAGCCAGTTCTTACAATCAAACAGCACCTTATTTAAACAATGGTGGGCTATAAAATGTGCTGGCAGCCATTTTGAATATTCAAACCATGGCTTGTTATCTTGTCTGACCCCAGGACCATGGCTTAAATAATCATTGTATAACCCATGTCCTTAGGCTAAAGTAACATCACAGTCTGCAGCTTGAAGATTCAAAAGCTGTGCAGCATGGCTCAAGATTCCTTAAACAGGCCACAATGGGCAGCCAGCAGTGATCATATAAACAGGTCACTTGTGCTTTTGTGTGAACTGGTGATTGCATTTGTCTGCTTTCTTTGGAGATATATTAGGTTCTTCTATGACTAAATATTAGATGTTTATTCAAGTGAAGCCTAAATTTACTCTGCTGCATGTATGTTATTAGAACACAGGTTTGCACAGTTCAGAGTAAGTTCCATGAGTATTAATTGATGGTGCAGAATGAACGCTGAAGAAATGTAATCAAGATTAGTCAGAAAAATCCATTCCGTTGGCAGGAAAAATCACTGCTTGTTCTAGAGATTCTTACAAAGAGGCAAGATGGAGTACATGTCTATGATCCTGTCTTTAAGAAAAGCAAAGGTTGCTGTCATTTGTTATCATTTATGTAGTCATGCTAATAAATAAGTTGATTTAAGCCAAAGTATTTGGTGCTTATTCCTTTGCATTTTAATCTGACTAAATGTCTTCCTGGTACATGTTTGTTCTGGAATAGGTGTGGCAGTAGGTCACATGCTAATACAATTGCACAGACTTTTGTTGAATTACTAGGTACTGCATACAGCCATCTAGAGCAGCTTTAGATGGGGAAAATCCATGGCACTGGTTGAACATAGCACTACAGTTGTAGTTCTATATACACTTAAGAATAAACTGTTAGGCATACTTCTGAGTAAAGAGTGATAGAGTTGTTCTATAAGGCACACCACCATTTCTTAAGTATTCACTTAAAACATTTATATCCTGTCCTATATCCAGTCAGGATCACTAGATCAGTCATTTTCAACTGCTGGTCCACCAGCATTTCCTGCAGCATCTTGCTCGCCAGCACAGGGCTAGCTGCCAGTTCTCTGCCTCTTCTGTCAAGGAGGCCGGGAAGGGAAGAGGCAGCTCAGTGGGAGCTGTGGCACACCGCTCCACCCTTGTGTTTTTATCTTGTGGTTGTGAGCTGCCCAGAGGTGCTATGGCACAATTGGCCGGCATAGAAATGTTTTAAATAATGTTTCTAGTCAACCCTGTTCAGACTGAATGACTGAATGGGGCATATCTTTTGTACCGAGATCCAATTAGTGGTACTAGTTAAAAAACCACGTAGATTCCACCAGCCTGAACAGTCTGTGTGTTAAAGAAAGATCTTCACTCAGTTTCCAAACCTGTCTATTAGAACTTAATTGAACTTAATGCACTGCGGTTGATCCTGTTGCAGGGAGACAATGTCGGACCACTTGCAGACATAGCCTGGGTTGTCTGCCTGCTCAAAACAAAGCATAAATGTTTATAGGCCATAATACTGAACAATGCAGAAATGAAAACAGCATAACTGGAGGAAGTGGTCTTTTGAAGTCATGCGTACTGCTTGCTTTCTTGTCTAGATTACCACAGAGCAGCTATCCTATTTCCCTAGTTTGGGTAGATATTTTTTATAAATTTCACTAGCTTTTGACCTCTTCACTCCACTCTTCAAAGTGAGACCTAACTATATTTTAGGTCTCAACATAACTTTTAATATTAACTGAAATAAAGGAGCTTTCTGGTTATACCAAATACATTTTTTCCTACATTCTGCTTCTTCCTTTCAAGCTTCTAGTCTCGCTAGTTACTTTCATTTATCTATTTCAGCTAGCATGTTATACACAATGCTATTACTTGCAAAGTTAAGTAACTGCTTAGATCTGTTCCTTGTTCAATCTGGGTTTTATTTTTTTTACAACATAAGGTACATTGCATTCATCAGAAGGAAATATGCATATACTAAAAGATCTCTTCCTTGGACTTCCCTGCAAAGCAATGATTTTTCATTATTTATACTGCTAAAGTTTCTGTGGTGTGAGAAGTGATGATAATTGCGTTCTGCAGATCTGTGAAAGCTATTTGTGCTGCTACCAGCTAGTGGATTAAGCAGATTGTTCTCTTAGCCTAACAGGATAAATAACAGCCCTGTATAACTCGTTTGGAAATAGGCTCACACTTAGGATGTCTGTACTAGCTAAACTAAAGCATCCATCTCATTTTTATCAATACTTCCAACCAATGCATTAGTCCTACCCCAGATCCTTAGGCATGCCTGGTGTTGGAGTCGCCAGAGATTCCCTTGAATGTTTCTCAACAGCTCTATATTTTTATGCATCTATTCTGAAGTGACACATGCATCTTTTAAACTTGCCATCATTCCTAGTCTTGTTAATCTTTAACTTCTCTTTTTTCACCCCCATGGTTGGGGCATGCCAATGGCATTGAATTATTTAAATGATAATTTGAGCAAATAGGTTGATTTGGATGAATATCCATATCTGACACATGCATTTATGAATCGACCCACCCAAGAAGGATTAGGAATAACATTAGCCAACTGACTTGTTTTATGAGCCACACTTTTAAGTTCTACTTTCATTTAGATTAAAACTTCCAAGTATAAAAATATACAGTCCAGAGAAACCACCATTGAACTGGTTCATGTGCTCTGGATCTGATCTGCTGTGTATGATCCATGGATCTTTCTTTTCTGTCCCAGCTGAGACTACTACATCAAGGGAAAATCTTAGGATGATCTTTCCTTACTATTCTCCAGGTCTTAGATGATATTAGCAAAAAGCTTTTCATGTCAGAGCAAAGACTTACAAGCAGTTGCACTTTGACAACTCACTAGGATCATTATTTTTGACAGCATTAATTGTGGGTTTCTACATCTGACAGTTCTCAGCAGTGTAGATAATTATATCCTTCCAGTGTGGATCAAAAGACGTTCTCTTCCGGTGCACCTTCTAGGAGACCAATAGGTTGAATGGAATGGCACAGCACCTCTAGTTCCTTAGGGAGACCTGTTTGCAGCCATGTAAGGTCCTTATTCTCTTCATTAAAGCTCTGCAATAGTCCAATGTATTATCTGCTATGTGTGTCTTGCAAATAGATAGCTACAGGTAGAGAGGCTAGAAGCCTCATTGGCTTGCCTGTTAATAAGGATCTCACGTGGAGAAAGTCCTGTTTTCCTGTTAACTGTTGCTCTCATATTTATTCAAGCTAATGGCAAAGCATTTGGCCATTTATTGCAGTCTCAGCAAAGATTTTAGCTAGCTTGTTTTCAGGATTCCATTTTGATGATGTATAAGCACTGCTGACTCGAAATGATAAGGGCAATGGAAATTCTGCTGAATCTGTAAAGCTTTGTAAACTTCCTTAAGAATTAGTCCTGTAAACTGTGTCTCTTTGTTTAAATTTATTGATAAGAAAATATCAAAGTTTACAATAAAATCTCATAAAAGTTTTTTCTTTGTTTTTACAAATTGCAGCAGCAGCAGCTTTAGCAATAGCATGTGCCTCTAGTTATTTTGAACACATGCAAACAAACTACCAGAAAAGCTTCAAAAGAACATCATATAGGTATCTGCATAAAGTTGACTTAGATGTTTATGAATGGGAGGGGAAGCATTGTGTTTACACATTTGCCCACTTTGTAAACCTGACAAATTAAGCATACACTACAACATTAGCAGCAATATTGGACTAGAGTGGGAAAGTCCATACATAACGATTTTTCCTACACAATCTTTCCCCCCCTCCCCATATACACACATCTTTGGCTACATGTGTTTTCATATTATGCAAATGCTCAACAGTAAAGAGAGATAACTTGGGTGTTACCTGACTCAAATCCAGCTTACCTCAGAAGAGGGTCATTGCATTAACAAAGGGTGAATGAATCCTTGTTTATGTTGCATTGTAGCCCATCCTGTTTTATATTTGCATGGGGACCTGTCTATAAACATAATTCCCTGTGCTGAAGTTTTATTCCAGTAGAACTTTACAGTAAATTATTATTTTTCTATTTTATTTTATTTTTTTTTGCAAATGAAGCTTTTCCTAAAATCACTGAGTGCCATTTATATGCCCTTCTATCATAATAAACATCATATATCATATATAGTGCAAACTAGATTCTGTTGGAAAAAGTCAATGCATTTGCATCTACATTATGCAATATCAGTTTTTCATTGATGCTTTTGCAATTAATCTTCATAGATCTCAAGCCTCTCAGTTGGTTCACACTGTACAGCAGAAGAAAAATCACTCTTCTGTGATTTCTTCATCATCTGTGGCTAGGATATGCTCTTTTGTTTCATTTTAATACAACTTATTAAATAAAATGACAGCTGTCTAAAGATCCAATAAAAGAAAACCCAACACCAACGTTTTGTTTTTCTTTTAAGAAGCCCAATATTAACCAGGTGGAACCTAGCACAAGAGGCACTAATATAACATTAAGAAATACTGAGACTTTTTAATTTGTTTAATGAATCAAACTTAATTAAGGTACCTCGTCTTACCATATTAGTCAAAAGTGGAAAATTCCAGGGACCAGTGCTGGGATCCTTCTTAGCTACAATTCCTTCATTAAGTCCTCAAACTTTGACACCCAATCCCATCCTTACTCTCTGACTTTCCCATCTACTAAATTTCCTGGGGATATTTTTATTATGTTTTAATATGTTTACTATATTGTAAGCCAATTAGGAAGGCCTCATGAGTTATAGGTGGCCTATAAATATATGTATAAATAAATTAATAAATTCCCAGCTAACCGTGGTATTCTCAACTAGCTTAATTAGCTGAAGTGTCCGAGGTCTTCAACTTAACAGAAATCATCATGATTAAATATATTTGAATATTAGGAGATTCTACTGTGGTTGGCTTCTCATTGTTAAAAAGTTTAGGGCATCTCTTCCATTATGGACATACATTTGAAATTAGACATATCTTCAGAATGCACGTTAATAACAGCAGCAAAGATGAAGTTCAGACAGAACTCACAACTAGAATATAAAACCTAACCCAAAACCCTGAAGAGGAATCTCAAAACAGCCCTTAAAGGAAAAACAAAACAAAAACCCTAACACCAATAACGAAGATAATAGACAATATGTAGTCTTTTCCAGCATTTGTACATCTTTTTCCCCATTAAAAAACATTTGCCCCAACTGAATTGCCAGCAGTAAGAGATCTTAATTACAATATGCTGATATTTTTACATTTTGCCTTACCACCTTGATGAACACCCTCTATGATTCAAAAATTCCCCTTGAATATTATTATTATTATTATTATTATTATTATTATAACATTTCTATGCTGCCCCTTGCCGAAGCCTCGGGGCGGCTTACAACACAATAAAATACATTGAAATACAATAGAACATATTAAATTACCATTAAATACAAAAATACAAAAAATACAATGAGTTACAAACATAATAATATAAAATTAAAATTATCAGTATAAAATAAGTGAATAAATAATATAGGAGGAGAAAAGAGAAGGAAGAAGAAGTTGCCCTGGCCAGATCATATCAGCCCTAATTTTTAAATTAGCTGATTATATAAATAAGGTGTTGATCCATACAAAAGTTGCTTATCTGCAATTCCTCAAGAT